GTATGCGTGTGAATGTTGCCATGACAGTATGCTTGCCATGCGGCTAAGTGTTTAATGTGTTATAATTGCTTGAATGCCTGTGGGTGGAGGTCAAATTGCTTAAATTGGGATAATGCGTTAAAACTGCGATTTTTTTTCTTAGCCCACTAGATAGTGGCAAAACCATCTTTTCCAAAAGCCCACTTGAGGGTGGCAAAATCTGTATTTTAGCCTACTTGCGAGTAGCAAACCATTTTCAAAACAAACATGAAATGTTTTGTTCCAATTTGGGCGATTTGGTCTATACTTGTTTGCCGCGTGCATAACATAGTAATGCTAGGCTAATAATTGGAATAAGAACACATAATGTTTTCAAAATCGGATATCATGGTTAGTAGAGGCCGGTCTTCGGACCGGGCGAAAGGGGGTGCTCATAGCTGACCTTCCCCGATCGTACCCAAGCTCCCGAGCCGAGACAACTCCGGTGATGACGGACATGTGGCCTTCGGCACCGAGTCAGGGTTTCCTAAATTTCCCCATTTTAGAAATATTTAGGTGGTGACTCTATATCGGGCAAAGCAGTCCATGTTTGGCACTACTTTTTCAAAAATCTGTTTCTCAAGACGATTTGCCAGATTTGGACTCTTTGATTCAGATTAAGAACCGTGACACAAATCGAGAGTCCGAACTGTAGCGAGGTCCCCCCGCGGACTTGTTACAGATGTGAAAAATTAAAACTTAGGAAATGGGTTCTGTTAAGAAGAGTCATTTTGTCAATTCAATATTGTTTAGGCTAAATTGGATGTCTTTAATGTAGTTTTTGCTTTTTCCAGAAAATAAGTAAATAAAACCCAAATCAATTAAGTTGAATTATGGACTAGGCATGACTGCCTGAGATGTTTTGGAATAGAGCATTTCAAGCCTTTCATATCATTTTCCTGTATAATAATGTACAATAAAAATATTAAAGATCTTTCCTTTATCCATAAGTGTTCATTCTGATTTTATTTTTTTCAATGAAGTTTAGAAATTTTACGTTAGTGAGCACTTCATGAACATACTTAACATGGATTTTTGGTCACAATCAAACGGAATTAATTCGATTGATACGTTTGGATGTAGTATTGAGTAGTTGGGTGGATTATTATTATTTATTTATTTTGCCTAATGCATTTGCATTAGGTTGCATGGATTAGATGGAGGAGAGACAATGCCTAAGAAGGTATGGTTTTGTATTAATAAAATGGAGAAAGATTCAAAAGAATGTTGGACTCAAATCTAACTCCATTCACAAAGACATTAAAATCTTCAAATCACCCAGGATTCCCATGGCAAAGGACCCAAGTGGTTACCTGACAGTTGATTCAACACCTAGGTGCCAATATTTTCTTTTTTTTCACTTTATCGTTCATCTAACATCGATGTGGCGAGATTAATTTCCTGCAATATATGACTGATATATTTCCATGTTAGATGTTCATGATTGAGAAGTTGCATTGTAATGCATAATGTGGTACATTAGCTTAGGTAAATGCAATAGGACATGGATGTCTAGTTCATAATATTCTAAAAAGGGGCAAGGCTCCAATTTTACATGGACTGCACTTGGACTTCTGTAATTAAGTGTAGGATCAACATGAGTGTTCATTTCATGTTTCTCATTAGTTCATGACTATATGACATGTTTATTTTGGCTTTATTTGGTTTAGTAGTTAAGGATGGTTTTGTTACTTTCAATTTTGCTAGATTTGGGTTGTAGAAGTATGGATCCATCCAGGGTTTTTTTTCATTTTTTTTTTTAGTCGAGCTGTATTATTGGATTGTTATTTGTGATTTTATTGGGTATAGAAAAGTCTTAATGGTCAAAGAGCCAAAATTCTCTATTTCTGAGTCTTTTTTCTAGTAGAATTAGGAGAAATCTAGTAGGCTGTAGATACATATGTAATCTTTCTATCCTATAAATCAAAGCTGACATTGTGAAATTGTATTTGTGTAGTTTTTCTTAACACTTGCAAAAGAGTAGTTGTACATATATTCAAATGCTTTCAAATGCAATGCACTCATCTCAACTTATAATGGACTATTTAAGTATCTGTTAAATGCCCAAATTCTCTATTTCTCTTCAAGATGACATCAATTGTTGCCTGGACATAAGTTCTTACCTTGCATCATGAATGACAGATTTATCATATTCCACCAGCGAGACTTGTTTAAGGAAGGAAAATTTTGGCCAGCTAGCCGAAGGTATGTTTCATATATTTTTTTCCTTGGTTCATGAAAAAAAGAAAAAGAAAGTGTCCTATCTACCTATTTGTTCCAGTACATGCTTCAAGTTTGCTAATTCTATCTAGTTGCACTAACAATTAAGCTTGTTATGGATGAAAAGGTGAAGAGGTCAAAGGGGTATGCTTTTATTCAGTACACTAGTCAAGACGATGCCCTACTAGCTCTAGAAAGCATGGATCATAAGGTAATAGGCGTATATTTGGTTGACATATTTCCACAATAATGCTAACTTTATCATCATATAATAAAATACTAATTTATGGTCTTGCTTCTGTAGACTAGCACCTTGTTTTCAAATAAAATTTGCTTATCGATGGTTAGGGATGGCTTTAAAATGGCAATATTGCTGCAATAAAGGTTCTTTCACATGAATCAAAACAGGGAGTAAAGGACCTCTTGACAAAGATTAGAGTGATTTCAGATATAGAGCACGAAATTTAGTCAAGCTCTATGCCTGTTGCGTGGATGAAGATCATAGAATTCTGGTCTACAACTACCTTGAGAATAACAACCTTGCGCAAACACTTATTGGTAATTCAATCTATCCATTCTTAGTTTGGTACTCTTTACACTTGTTGGATTAAAAACACAAATTTGGCACCTTGATTTACGAACTTTAGCTTTAAAGCATCATCATCATTATCATGACCTTGGCTTTCAGGTGGAAGTTACAGTAGTATCCAGTTTAGTTGGCGAACACGAACTAGAATTTGCGTTTGGATTGCATGAGGACTTGCCATTCTTCATGAGGAAGTGTGACCACATATCGTTCATCAAGATATCAAAGCTGGCAATATTCTCCTCGACAAAGACTTGACACCCAAAATTTCAGATTTTGGTCTACCAAAACTTATCCCAGCCAACATGACTCATGTCAGTACCCGTGTGGCAGGAACGATGTAAGTTCTAACAATAATGCATCCATTTTTTTAACCCATCTAATCATAAGATTTCATCTTCATTACGTTCTTAGAGAAATTACCAAAAACATACATTGCATTTGTACTCGGGATAGTGACTTGCACAAGATGCGTTATTGGTTTGATATCAAATAATCCCTAGTCATGCACATGATGTCTACAAAGAAATGGCAACTTAATCAGTCGTCTTTAAATCATGCTACTTTTTTGTTGTTGAATTGTTTAGATAGTAGATAGTTATTTTCTGTTGATTTTGTTGATGAAGGAGATTCATTGGTGGAATCTTTTAGGTAGAATTATGGATGGCAATTAAATCTGAACCCAATGGAAACCCACCCTGCCCCGCTATTATTAGAGCGGATTTCCCCAAATTCCCCCCCCCCAATGATTAACTGTTTTTCTTCTCTCATTTTTCAGAGCACTGGTGGCTAATGGTTGTTGCTTGCTGGTCTGCTGCTGCTGCTGCCAGTGTGCTGCTGCAGAATTTTGCTCGGGTGCTACTGCTGCTGCTGCAATGTTGCTATGAAGCGGGCTGCTACTAGATGTTGGTCTGCTGCAAATTTGGGTTGTTGTTAGTTTCATGTTTTCATTTTGTTAGCTATTGTTTTTACTATGGGTTCACAAGTTGGATGTATTTGAGTATTTTAGTGAGTTTACCCTTTCAGGTTTTATACATCGCTCCCAAAAGCATATTTTTCAGCAGTGTTTTTTTGTCTACACATCAACTTTAGGTGATTTAATATCAATGTTATTAGTTTGTAATAGTAGTGTCTGAGGGATGCCTCTTGTAAATATGTAAATCTTATAAAAAAAATATAAATGATTTTCAATTTTTTTTTTCGTTACAAATTTGTCGTTGCCAAAAAGTAAAGCTTTCTCGACAAACAACTTGTCGGTAAATGTGTAGCCAAAAGTTTATTTTTGCCCACTCATATTGTGTTGCTAAAAGTGTATTTTTTGCCAATGACAATTTGTCATTGCCAAAAGTAAAGCTTTATCAACAACCAAATCGTTGGCAAATGGCAACATTTACCGACGTAAATGTGTCGCTAAAAGTTTACTTTTGCCCACTCATATTGTGTTGGTAGAAGTGTATTTTTTGCCAATACCAATTTATCGTTGCCAAAAGTAAAGCTTTAGCGACAAACAAATCGTCGGCAAAAGGCAACATTTACCGACATAAATGTGTCACCAAAAGTTTACTTTTGCCGACGCATACTTTGTTGCTAAAAGTATATTTTTTTCCCATGCAAATTTGTGTCGCGAAAAGTGCCACACAATCATCATATTTGAATGACTTTTACCGACGCAAGGTAAATTGCCGATGATGGATGAAGGCTTTTATCGACGACTATGTTCGTCGCTAAAGGCATTACTTTTACCAACGCAATGATAATTTCGTCGGCAAAAACTTTTGCCGACTCAATTTTGCCTATGGGTTGCCAACATAGCTTTGTGTGTCGGCAAAACTCTTTGCCAACGAATTTTTCCTTTTAGCAACATATTTTGTTGCGTTGCAAAAAATGTAATTTCTTGTAGTGTGGTCAACGCGGCGGAAGCGGACAAGTAGAAGGCGCTTGCCAAAAGGAAAGACCACTATCTGCGTGAACTGGCCAAGCTCGAAAGGAAAAAGGATACGGAGATAGCCGAACTGAAAAAGAACATGTAGGACGCTGAAGACCGTGGCTACAAAGAAGGAGAGGCTACGTATGTCTTGCAGTGCGAAGCTGCAAAAAACATCTTTTTCAAATGTGGCTGGAAGGCAATTGTTGCGAAGCTCGGTCAGGGCCCAAAAACCGAGGTCTTCCAAAACCCTCCACCTCACTTCATTCCAAGTTATATGGCAGACTACGCCAACGCCATCTAACAAAAGCTTCTCCAAGAGAGGGAGGAGAAAGAAGGATCCCCTGATGCAAACACTGCTCCATCTGCTAACAATGATCGCAATCTCCAGGCCAGTCAGACAGCTCAGGTAGAGCCACTGGTGTCAAATACAGTTGATGATGCGCCTGTGACCGACCTACCTGCTGGAACTGGGCTACCGAGTGGTGAAGCTCGGGTTGACCTAGATGCAAACTTGGATGATCTATTTGCTTGATCTTGTTTTTCTTCTTTTGATGTTGTAACCGGGCTCACGCCCCTTATCTTGTAATGCCTGTTTAAATCTTGAATGAAATCTACAAATTTTCCTATCTTTTTGTTCGATTTAACTCTTACTTGTAATTACCCTTCAACTTTAATTGCATCAGTCTTGAACTCTTTGCTTGGTTACGATGTTTTAATATTTTATGGCCGAGATATCCATCTCTGTCCAGGAGCCCTATAATCTGTTAACTTTACTATGTGTTGGTCATACCTGCCAACTTTCTTCAGCCTAGATCCTTATCTCGGCTGAAGAGAACTACATGTTGGTCATACCTGCCAACTTTCTTCAACCTAGATCTTTATCTCGGCTAAAGAGAGCTAAATGTTGGTCATACCTGCCAACTTTCTGCAGCCTAGATCCTTATCTCGGCTGAAGAGAGCTAAATGTTGGTCATACTTGCCAAACTTTCTTCAGCCTAGATCCTTATCTCGACTAAAGATAGCTAAATGTTGGTCATACATGCCAACTTTTCTTAGCCTAGATCCTTATCTCGGCTGAGAACTGGACGTTGGTCATACATGCTAACCTTCTTCAACCTAGACCTTATCTTAGCTGAAGAGAACTAAATATTGGTCCTACCTGCCAACCTTCTTCAGCCTACATTCTTATCTCGGCTGAAGAGAGCTAAATGTTCGTCATACCTACCAACTTTCTTCAGCCTAGATCCTTATCTCGGCTGAGAACTAGATGTTGGTCATACCTGCCAAACTTCTTCAACCTAGATCCATATCTCGGCTGAAGAGAGCTAAATGTTGGTCATACCTGCCAACTTTCTTCATTGCCCCTAGCTGGTACTAACTAAGAACAACTTTTACAGTAGAAAGATTTATACTAAAAAAGACACTACTTGTTTTATTTGAAAAAGAAAAATTACAAGTATTTAGGTAAAAGCTAAAAATAAAATAGTTTGAGATTGGCAGTGTTCCATGGCCTGGGAATAGCTTTGTTGTCTCCATCCTCCAAGTGATATGCCCCTTTTCCTGCTAACCCGACCACTTTGTATGGTCCTTCCCAGTTAGGTCCTAACTTGCCATTTCCAAGTACCAAAGTGTTGCCCATTACTTTGTGCAATACCCAATCTCCAATCTTGAACTGCCTCGGATGTACTTTTTGTTATATTTTCTAGATAACTCTTGCTGGTATGAGGCAATGTGAACTAGTGCTCTTTCCATTCTCTCTTCTGCAAGGTCGAGTTCCAAGGTCGTGGCTTCTTCATTCAAGTTTGGGTCAAAATTTTCACTTCTAATAGTGGGGAGGCCTACTTCTAGTGGGATTACTACCTCCATGCCATAGGCTAAGGAAAAAGGCGTTTCTCCAGTTGACCGCTGAGGTGGTGTACGGTAAGCCCATAAAACAAGAGGAAGCTCCTCAGCCCACTTGCCTTTTGCTCTCTCCAACCTTTTCTTCAAACCATCTAAGACAACTTTGTTTGATGCTTCTGCCTGGCCACTCGCTTGAGGGTATGCTGGTGTAGAGTTGTAGAATTCTATCTTGTATTCCTCACAAAAGCCCCTGAAAATTTTGCTATCGAACTAAGTGTCATTGTCAGATATTAAAGCCTTGGGTATGCCGAATTGAGTTATAATATTCTACCAGCCGAGGCACAGGGAACGAGTATAAATAGAGGAATAACTGACTGAGAAAGGTATGTAAAAATTATCGTGCTTAACTTAGAATACAAGCAATCTTGAGTGTGAGACTGACTTGCCCGTCAGAGTGCTAATTCTGGCACTCCCGACCGGAGTGTTCATTCTTTTTCAGGTGACTGGAAGAGGATCAAAAGCGTCCCCCAGGATTAGAAGAGTATCCCCAAAACTAGTATCTCCACAATTGGCGCCGTCTGTGGGAATACTCAAGCACATCCATGGCGGGCGTGACGGAGGACCCTCCAATAGCCACTGATGAAACCACGTAGTTAGACGATTTTACTCCAACAAACATGCATGGACTGGAGAATATCCCGGCACGACGCGCTTTGAACTTCACCTCACCTTCGACCCCAGAGCATGAGGCAATGCAAGCGATCATGGAACAAGCAAAGCAAAACGAGCAGCGGTTGGAGAACATGATCGCTGAGAACAAGCGTCTCCGTCAGGATCTAGCCCTGGAGGTGGCAAAGTCCAAACAAGCCGTGTGCCAAGATCTGGAACGACCTCTGAAAGCAGCTGGTCGACGATCTCGAGCCCGGCAACAAGACACTGATAGCGACTCTGACTCACTATCTCTGGAGCCCAAAAAGAAAGGACGACCTACAACTTCCAGCTCTTCTGAAGAGGGCCTATGTATAAGGCATAAGCGCAGAAGAAACGGCTCAGATGACGAGGACCAGCATGATCCCTTTGTGCGATGGATCGCAAGGACAATCCTTCCCAAAAAGTTTAAAGCCCCATCACTCACTCTCTATGATGGAAAGTCAAACCCCACTGATCACATCCGCCACTACAAGCAAGCCATGACATTGCATGCAAACGACGAGGCCCTCATGTGCCGAATATTTCCCAGCAGTTTAGGACCATTGGCTGTCAGGTGGTATTATAAACTAGAACCGGCTTCGATCAAAACCTTCCTCCAACTACAGAAGTCCTTCAGGGCCAGATCCATCACCAATGAGGTTCAGCCGAAACAAGCCGACTCTCTCTGGGCAATGCAAATCCTGCCAGAAGAAACACCAAGAGCGTATTCGGCACGATATTGGGAGTGCTTTAATCTTGTTGATGATGCTTGCAACGATTCCATGGCTATCACCGCCTTCAAAATGGGATTACACCTGGATAGCGCCCTCTGCAGTTCCTTGACCAGAAGACCCCCCAAAACAGTCTGGGGATTGATGAAGAAAGTAGAGGAATACTGCAAAGTGGAAAATGACGCCTTGCGGGTTAAAGCCAGACACATTGCCATAAAAACGGCCCCCCCTGAAATTGCTCAACCAATAAGTTCCATACCTCCTCAGAGCCATGAACCACAATAGCGAGCTAAACGAGACAAGAAACGGGATTCTCGCCGATCAAGCGAACAATGCTCACACTGAACAAATGAGCAATTGCAAGTTGATAATAGGCGCACAAAGCGCGCTGACAAGAAATATACGGAGCTGTCAGAGCCAATCAGCTCGGTTATGTCCCAAATCCAACATCTTCCGTAATTCAAATGGCCGTCCAAAATGGTGGGACCTCCTGACACGAGACGA